TTAAATTTTTCGTTGCCAAAGTTCGCTTCTACTGATCCGCCTTGCGATCTAAATCCAACGCAAGGGTATAAATTACCTTCCAAATCGGTAGGTAGATGGCACGCAATTCCTTAAAATATTTTATAATTATTGAATTTATTTACTTTAAAAAATATAAACCTCAATTTCTAAGATTTAGGTTACCCAAGTTAATTCCATTTTTAGTATAAAATACTATCTTATTTCTAAAATTTAGATAGCATCCAACTATATCACCAGAAATAAATGTAAATCCACGAGTATATTCAGGATATGATAAATCATATGGCACACCACTTCCTGAGCAAAAAGAATATCCATCGTCGCCATGGTAACCACACCCCCATGGTTCATTTTCCTGTCCTAAAAGATATAATATAGATGTTAATCTATAATAATAAACAAATAAAATAAAGATTGTTATTACCAGGCATGAGCAAATTATTTATATAATCTGAATCGTCTATTTTTTTATCGCTTTGCTTTGTACAATATCCGATTCCAATCATTCTATTAAGAAAATAGAATTAGCAGATTATAAAAAGATCACTAAAATAAAAATGATGATTATGGTAAAAAATAATTATTAATATTACCTATTTTTTCCTTTGTCTATAATTTTAATTTCAAAGTAAAATATCCCACATTCTGAAGGGATTGGATTATTTGTTCGAACTATTTCAGCTTTATAGTCATCAGAATCTTTAATTAAAAGATATTTAATAAATAAATAGCTATGATAATATTCTTTTAAATGCCGATGATTATAATAACACATTAAATATGTTTCTGTAAGATTTCTCATTTTTATATTACCCGTATAACTCACTTTAAGTCCACTTGAATCTATATCAATAAATGGTGATTTATCTTCAATATCCCATGCAGTCGGTAAAACAATATCATTGTACGAAGTTATTAATTCTAAATCTCCCATTGCTGTAGGTTAAAATTCAATTCAGTTCTTTTGTTAACGAACGGTGAACATACAAAAGTAATTTATAGAAATATTAATTAACGAAATGTACTATATATTTATGTATGTGTATAATAAAGAATACTAGTATATTGTAAGATATAAATGTTAGCTTAAAAGTGAAAACTGTTCTTTTCTCAAAACCTGATCGTCATAAAGTTTATGTGTTGCAACTCGCAGATCCTTAATTACGGGTTGTGAAATATTATGTAGAACACACATCTATAAAGAGAATCGGTTATCTGGTGACGACAGGTCCTCGTACTGCCTAATGCCTAGGTAGTCACCAAAACATGAAAACATAAGGTCCTTGCACTGCCTGCAGCAGTCGCAGGGCCTAAACACCAAACACGATGTTACGCCAAACGCGAGGTCCTTGAACTGCCTGCGGTAGCTGCAGAGCCTATCAGCATTAATCACTAGCTTACTAAATAGGTGTCAAATATATCGCCCTTGGTTAACGGGCTACTGCGAGACGGGCGGGACGACAGAGCCCGCCTTCACTACAAGACGAACGATGGCGAAAAGATATTGTAACCATCGTAAGGGAGAGCTCGCTATTGTCATGCCGAGTTTAACTCCGATGGTTGACGTTAGAAGGGTCATATGAATTGGGCGATAAATTATGGTATTCGGATATTCATGATTTATTAGGCATTTATTATAAAAAAGAGTGTGAATATATGTGACCTTTATTTATTGAGGAATTTTGGGAGAGCGAATGTTATCCTCAACTAAGGATGAAGACGCACTCTTATATACATTCTAATTTTACAGATTGTCATCATGGGATCTCAACGCTTACGCTGTAGATTCCACATTTACTCAAGGCGCAATGATTATAAATTAGTGCAATCACGTATACGCTCTATTTTGAGCGTAAACGCTTTTGCATGAATTAAGTCACCAAGAATACATAATAATGCCAAGGTAATATTAACATGACTAGGATGGTACAATTAGGGAAGGTGAGTGACAACTTAAAGAATTAGACAAATACGGAAGTGAGGAGACACAGGAAAAATTAATCGTTACAATATCCTCCTCTACTAACCAAAGGCTCTTAAATTTGCATATTGCAGAGTGCTACAGAAAAGAGGGAAATCTACAAATTTTCAAAATTTTTTTTTTTTACATAAATCAATTTAGAATAAGATTAGGATCATTTTTACTTAAAACACAAAAGCAGTTGCATTAATAAAATTTTGTAATATAGCTCTTAATTTATTATAAAATTTATAACAAAAATTGATCTTCCGAAGATCTTTTGTTGATTTCCCCCTTTTCTGTAGCAACCCGTTCTCATTCATATACAATCACACTATTAACCGGAAAATACCTGTATTAGTATCTAACAAGATACCATAAAACCGTATACAAAAACCCAAAAGAAGTTAAACGACAAATTGGACATATGGGCTGCCGTCAATAGAAATCAAGCAAATCTACATTTTTAAAAAAAATTAATGCCTTAACTTTCATAGCTTATATTTCGGTGAATCTTAAAGCTACCTTGATGCTTTAATATTCAAAATAAATCATAGATAGTAAGCTTTCTTTTGAATATTAAATCATCAAGATAACTTTAAAATTCATCGAGATATGAGCTGTGAAAACTAAGAAATTGATTGATTTCTATTGACTGCAGCCCATGTGATCCCGTAAAGTCATCTGATCACGCAATAGTGATTGCTTTGCCATTTCGTTGACCATCAGAAAGTTGAACCAAACACAATCCTAGTCCCGATAATATATTTAATTTTTAAATATTTTTTAAGTACTTTAAATAAGTGCTTATGATTACATCCCAACATACCTTAGGCCCAATAAGCATTTATTAAGTATTAAGCAAATACTTAACAAGTATTTTTTAAATGCTTTGACAAACTTTGTGATGACAAGCTCCTCAGTCCGTTACCAATTACTGATTACTTATTTCTTAAACATTTTTTTGACTTTTAGATTAGACAAAATCTTGCGCATTTATCATTTTGTAAAAATTCGATTATTTTTATAGAAATAAAAGTTGCACGTTCATCATTTTGTAATAATATAGGAGTTGCGCATTATTCAATAAAATTTTTTACAAAATGATAAATGCGCAAAATTTTGTCTAATCTAAAAAGCCAAAAAAAAAATGTTTAAGAAATCGGTAATAAGTAATCGGAAATCTTTTTTTTTAATGATCAAATTTCGCAAAACGTAAAAGTTGACTAATTGATTAGTTGGTATATATATCGAAATGACTTGGATATAATTGCGTAGCTACTAATTACAAGATCAAAGCATGATATCGTATAAAACTAGTCGATTAGTCAACTAATCGATTAAATAACTAATTAATCAGTTAATCGATTAATCGTTAGCTGTCTAATACAGTAAAATTATCAATCGATTAGTTTTCAACTCGATTAAATAACGATTAATCGATTTGGAACACTAAGATTTTATGCAATAAAATCTTTAATTAACATCTGCTTACCTAATTTTAGCATGATTATTTTTCGTTAAATTATTACGATTTCGTCTTTCGAAATATTTTAGCATGTTCATCTTTTGGGGGAATTGTAATGAAGGTAACTCGATACGTCGTAAATCGCATATGTTCCTGAAAGTCATTTCCCCCAAATTTTATTTTTCATCTTACTGGACTCGTCTCTTGAAGGATTATGATGTAATGATACCATCTACATCATTACTTATTAATATGGATAGACAATAATTGTATTATAGTATTATCGTAATGGAATGGCTAATGCTAAGTCTGACAAAATGAAATTGAAAACTGATTTACAGGTTTTACCTCGATAGAATTCAATGTAAATACAGATCTTTGGATAGAATTTCAGATTCGATAATTCGATCTTTAAAAACTTATCGTTATATACAATAACGCGACCAATTTAATTGTTCATACAGTAGTTAGGGATGTTATCACTTGATTTGGTTTATATATTTAACTATATAATGAATAGAGCCGATAACATCACTAACAATAATAGAGTTTTGCAATTGATAAAGATCTATTAATGCTGATATTTAAGTTTCACTTTGACTTTTTTTCTCACAAAGTAGGTAGAAGACAGCACAAGGAATAGTAGGCCAATGTAGACATAGCAAATTACTATAGTATACAGCTCTTTATCTAAGTCAAATGCAATTCAGTCCCAATAAATAATATTTATTGCCCTTATATACTTACACGCCTTCCTGATCAATAGCCTATCAATTCTTTTCTTATGTACAGTACTTAATTAATTACATTATACCCTGGTCACTACATCAAGATCGCAGGGCATAAATCAGTTATGTCCTGGGCACTATGTGATAAGCGGGACTTTCAGCCCCGCTTATACCCAACTGCCCAGGAAATAACTATTACGTATGTACATACATAACAAATAATCCTTCTAGCTAAAACATAACTCTGACTACGTGCAATTTTAGAGATATCAAATATTATAATCAATATATAAGGTTAATGTTCAATATGCATAATAGCTACGAATAAATGCTTCTTTACAGAAACTTCAATTTTCGTTAAATATATTTACTATATAGCTACAATATACAGTAATTAAAATATTACTAAAATTATCACCGGTATATAATAAATATGTGTTAAACATATGTTAAAATTTTATTATATTTTAAAAAAAACTTTTTTATTTAATAACAATCTAATAGTAATCTAATAAATAATATTTTAATAATATAATAGCAACCTGTTAAAATAATACAAATATCTTAACAAACTTATATATTATAAGATTATAATAAGGTAATTAATAGTAATGATAATGATTGAGCTTGTAGTGTTTTTGGAAGAGCATTTATCAATTCCTTCGTCATTTCAGGCCAAAGCGAATATAATAAGGATATAATATTCTTCAAAAATCAAGGTTCTAAGAGAAGGTCGAGATGGCGAATCCTTTGAATTGTCTGGTGAATTGCATCAAATGAAGGAAGGTATTATTATAACAATAGCTGCATGCTGAACAACTATTTATTCAATAATATCCAATTTGATTTTCTCAAATTCATCAATACCGAGAAATTCGCGCCTAGTACAAAATTTGGGTTTTATATAATACCCATAACCGCTAAGGTTACCAATGCAATTACTAATCACACTACTTTTCAAAATCATCTTTCTAATTAAGTTTCCGTATGCCTCTTTCCTTTGATCTTCATGCACCTATAAAAAAAAAAAAATTTAATAAAAAAAGATATTATTTTAATACTTTCTATTAATTAAATTTGAAATTCTATTGAATAATAAAAGCAGAAAAAAAGCCTTACTTGATACAAAAAAACTTTAATAGACTTTATGTAGCAGTTAGTTTTTTTGTCAAATGGTACAGTCATTTAAAAAGTCTACAATGTTCTGTTCCATTCGGTCGATGACTTCTTGAAGCAGTGTTTTTTTTTTGCACAATATTTTACAGTTAAGCACTTATTTTACGGCTTAGACATACTTTTAAAATTTAAACTTTTACCAAAATAGATGTTGAAATGAAAATTATAATAAAGCGAAAGCTAAAAAACTCTTTCCGGTTCACCCCTGAAAAATCATTGACAATAGTAAAAAGTAAACAAAATCTTTGCAAGTTTTTAGTATTATAGTAATTCATACAACAAGCCC